CAAACTTACTAAATTCAAGACTTTAGTATTTCTTTTTGTCCTTAGAATATATCCTATTGAGATATACCGGATGGGACAATATAGGTTTACAATTGTGAGTCCACGAAACACAGTTTATTCTTGTATTATTATTTATTAATTATTGTGTTATTTTCTGTGTGAATAACTAAACCTTTTGCCCCACCCTGTACAATCAGATTACTGTCAACTATAGATCTGAAGATTTTAAAGTGTGAGCTACTCTCTTCAGACAAGAGATTTTGCCCATGTAAGGCTGCCATTTGCATGGCATGGTGGGAAACTGTAGAGTCAGACAGATCTAGGTTCACAATACTGACCATGGAGGGTTGTGAGAGTAGAGATAATGGCTACAAAGCACCTAACTTACTAGTCATACAGTAGACAGTGGCTGTTATTGTTTAACCTTTGAAATATTTAAAAACATAACATTTGATTAAAAGTCAATGAGTAAAATATTCAACCCACCAGTTAAAGTTTTTGATTTTAATGTTTTCCAGCTTTATTGAGTTATAATTAACACATAACATTGTATAAATTTAAGGTGTACAATGTAATTATTATATTTATACATTGTGAAATGTTTACCACAATAAGTTTAGTTAACACATTCATCACCTCACACAGTAACAAATATTTTTTTTGTGTGTGGCGAGAACTCTTTTGTTTTATCCTCACTTGAGGATATTTTTCCACCCATCTTTAGACAGAGTAGGAGGGAGAGAGAGACAGAAAGAGAAACATCTATGCAAGAGAGACACATTGACCGGTTGCCTCCCATGTGACCCTGACCGGAATCGAATCGGGTCTCATTGGTCCGTGGGCCAACGCTCTAACTGCTGAGCCAAACTGGCCAGGGTTTGAAAAGCAGTAGGAAAAATATCTGCTGCAGCCTAATGTTAATCCATCATGGTATAATTATCTTAGGGGAATAGGAACTAAAAATATAAATGGCCTGGATTTATAAGATCTACAATGTCTTTTAAAGATTTTTCAAATAATCCAGGGATTTACCTACATCAGAAAAGGGCCAATTGCAGAATACAGTGAATTTATTTTGTTTCAAGGAAAATGTAAGATCAGGCTGATACTCCAAGGGCTCTTGTGCATACTGGAACCAAATAGTTTTTTTTTTAATGATGGAGCTCACAATTTTATCTCATTATAAAAGTTTTAGCTCCAGGCCCAGAAAGGCAGCAAAACCAGACAAGCGATGCCTCAGCTGACCTCAGGACCAGCTGCATTGGATAATGACCACCTGCCCTGTCACTTACCCATCAATGGGGACCCTGACCCTGAAAGGAGACACCTAGAAAGCTGATTAATATTCTATTGAGATCTTCCCCTGGGACCTCCCTTAAAATCTTCATCCCTAAAACCCTCAGGACAGAGGACCCAGCACACTCTTCCTCCCCGGAGCACTCCCATGCCTTCCCCCATCTCCCTCTCCCTCTCCTCAGGTTATCACCTTGACTTTCCTCACGCCCAAGCTCCAAGGGCCCTTCCTTTGCCTCTGTAACTTGTTTCCTAAGACCATTTCTTCCATGAATAACTTCTACCAAAAAACAAAAAAAAAAGCAGTAGAATAAAGATTATCGGTAGCTTGGTTATTTTATTTGAAAACTTCCTAAGGAAATTTTGGTGCTAGTGAATTTTAAAATGTCCCCTGAAATAATTTTGCTAAGTCAGCATATATTTTTAACATATTTAAGGAAATGTAATCTAAGTTTTGCCACATTTATAAACTATCCTTGCTTAATTATCATTGATTCATAGCAGGAGTGCTGGTAGACTGAAATCTATTTGTCCATGAGAAATACATTTCAGTTTTTCTGAGTGTATCCCATATTTATCAGCATATCTTTTATTGTCTCTGTTGTTAAGTTGTCAAATGTTGTTATCCTGTTTCTGTTTAGATTGCTTCTCCTGGGTGGCACACATTCTGATTTTCTTTTCTTTTTTAAAATAACTTTTATTTTACAGAACAGTTTTAGATTTACAGAAAAGATGCTACATAGAGTTCCAGTATACCCACACCTATTTTCATCTGTTAATTAACATCTTATGCCCTGGTTTGGCTTGGTTAGAGCGTCAGCCATCAGACCGGAGAGGCCTGGGTTCGGTTCCTGCTAAGGTTACATACCTCGGTTGCAGTTTGTCCCTGGCCCTGGGTGGCATTGTATGGGTGGCAGCCACTCTATGTGTCTCTCTCACATTGATGTTTCTCTCTCTCTCTTCCTCCCTCTCTCCCTCCCGCTCTATCTGAAGAGAAATGCAAAAATGTCCTTGGCTGGCCCTGGCTGGTTTTTCTCAGTGTTAGAGCGTTGGCCCGCAGTCCAGAGAGACCCAGGTTCAGTTCCCACTAAGGGCATGTACCTTGGTTGCAGTTTGTCCTCAGCCCTGGTTGGGGTCATGTGGATGGCAGCCAGTTGATGTGTCTCTCTCACAGCGATGTTTCTCTCTCTCTCTCTCTCTCTCTCTCTCTCTCTCTCTCTCTCTGTATCTGAAGATGAATGCAAAAATATCCTCGGGAGAGGATAAAAAAAGAAAAAAGAAATGTCCTCGGATGAGGATAAAAACAAACAAACAAACAAAAACATATTAGTATGGTACATTTGTCACAGCTGATTAACCAATAATAATAATATAGTGGTATTAACTAAAAGTTTGTAGTTTATTCAGATTTCCTTAGCTTTTATCTAATGTCTTTTTCTGTTTCAGTATTCCATTTCTAATACCATATTACATTTATTTTTCATATCTTCTTAGGCTTCTCTTGGCTGTGACAGTTTCTCAGACTTTCCTTGTTTTTGATGATTTTAATAGTTTTAAAGAGAACTTGCGGAGTATTTTATGGGTGCCTCTCTATTGGAATTTGTCTGATGTTTTTTTCATGATTAGAATGGTGGTAGGGGTTTTTTAGAGGAAAATCATAGAGGTGTAAAGTACCATTTGCAACCTATCATATCAAGGGTAAATACTATCAACATGATTTATTACTGTTGATATTGACCTTGATCACCCATCTGAGGTAGTATTGTCAGGTTCTACTGGAAAATTCCTCTTTTCCTTCTTTTCCATACTGTCCTCTTTAGAAGGATGCTCTTTGTGCAGGCCCTGCTTAAGGAGTGGGGAGTTATGCTTTATTTCCTTGAGGACAAAGTATCTTTATAAATTATTTGGAATTTCCTGCAAGGGAGATTTGTATATATTTATTCAGTCACTTGATATCAGTATGGACTCATGGGTATTCATTTTATATTTTGGATTATAGTCCACTGCTGCTTTATTTTGTTGCTCGAATAGTTCCACCTTTGGTCATTGGGAGCTCTTTTAGTTGGGTCCTATGTCACTTTGACATATCTCTTCAATGTAGTGTTTCTTTTTCTTTTTTTTCTTTTGAGCACTTATTTCCTGGTACTACAAGGTGCCCCAGGCTCATTCGTACTTTTTTCCTGCCTCGGCCCTAGAATCAGCCATTTATTTCTTCAAGGAGTCCTGACTCCTTTTAGTGGAGAATGATATTAGAAACCATGATCTGGGTGCTAGGTGTACTCTTTGCTATGGGGTGTTGGTGCTTTTGTGACTTCTCAGCTGATATAGCAAAGAAATATATGTGTAGATACCAGCCCATTCCTTTTGCGCCAAATCCTCACCAGCATTTTAACTTAACATGTTTCAGTGCCTAGACTGATAAATGTGTGGTAATAGGTATGCAGGCTTGAAATATGTCAACCTATTTAGTTTAATGCTTTTAATTATTGTTTTAAGAATGTTTTTCTAAACTTTCATTCTTTCTCCTGACCTCTGTTTAAATTTATTATATTTGGGGTAGTTATATTATTTGTAAACTACATTTTTATTAAGACTTTTTTTTCTTTATTGATTTTTAGAGACAGAGGAAGGGAAAGAGAGATAAAAACATTGATGAGAGAGAACATCGATTGGCCGCCTCCTGCATGCCCCCTTCTGGGGATCGGGCCCACAACCTGGGCATATGCCCTGACCAGGAATCGAACCAGTGACCTCTTGGTGCATGGGTCGATGCTCTACCACTGAGCCACACCAGCTGGGCTGTATATTACATTAAAAAATATATGTATAGCCCTGGCCAGTTTGTTCGGTGGTTAGAACATCAGCCTGCGGTCCAGAGAGACCTGGGTTCGGTTCCCGCTAAGGGCGCATACCTCGGTTGCAGTTTGTCCCTGGCCCTGGTTGGTCATGCAGGTGGCAGCCACTCGATGTGTCCCTTTCATGTTGATGTTTCTCCCCCCCCCCCCCACTCTATCTGAACAAAAAAATGGAAAAATGTCCTTGGGTAAGGATAAAAATATGTGTATATATACATATATATGTATATATATGTATATATAAAATCAGCCCTACCTGGATCATGGATATATGGTAGGTTAGGACATAAAGTATTGCGACAGTTTGGTTTTTGTCAAGCATTTATTATTCTGCAGGCTCGTAGTAGGAATTATCTTTTGGTGTCTGGAGGTTGATAATAACGCCAGGGAGTAGAAGGATAGTCCATTTTTAGGTGTTGCCTTGATTCTAAAGGCCACAAAGTGAATATGATGAGGACTAGTTTTGTTTCTCAGCCTGATCTAGGGGACTATGCTCTCTCTCATTCCTTCCTCCCTTCCTAGTTTTCTTTATGAAACTTGATTACTTTGTTTCTAAACTTAAAGTTGAAAATTATGCTTCTTATATGAATCTTGTATATTTGAACTCTCAATAGATACCTTGTAGTGGTTCTGCAATTAGTGGTTTAGAAAAGGTTATGTATGTGCTTATGAGAATAGAGACACTATACTAATTTAATTTTTTTATTTCCATATATTGTTTTGGCATAGTTCTCTTAATTAGTCCATTTACATATTAATTAATATTTATTTTTACTTTATAGGAAGAACATGTTCATATTGCCAAACAGCTGAAAACTACACTTTAATGTTCTTTCTGATTCCTCTATATAGCAAATTGCACAGAGTTTAAAAGATGAACAGAAGAAGGTACCTTCAGACGCATCATTTTCAGATGTTCGCTTAGAAGAAACAGAGTCTAATAATCTGACAAAATCTGGTATGTTATAATGTTTTAACTTCCAACTTTGATGTATTCATTTAAAACCTTTTATTGAGGACTTGTTATATCCCAGGCATGAAAAACAGCTTGTGCTCTTGTGGAGCCCACTCTAGTGGGGAGAGATTGACAAGCCACAGACATAATTCAGTGATGACACGCTAAAGGTATGCATAGGGCACTCTTGGACCGTGGAAGAGGGGCATCAAAATTGTGAAGGGAAAAAGATTGTGAAGGGAAAAAGATTATGAAGGGAGGTGAAATTTGAGTGTAGGAAGGTAGGTTCATTGAGAGGCGTGGTGTTTGAAAGCTGTAGGGTTTTTAAAGATGAATATGAGAAAGCCAGGTGAAGTAAGATTGTTTAAGATAGAATAGCATGGAGGGTGGCTTGTAGGATTGGAAGACTGTGGCTGCTTTGGGAAGTCAAGTTGTTTGGTGTAAATATATTGAGTGCTGCCTGGCCTGTGTGACTCAGTGGTTGAGCATCAACCCATGCACCAAGAGGTCGCCGGTTCGATTCCCGCTCAGGGCACATGCCTGGGTTGTGGGCCCAATCCCCAGTGGGGGGCATGCAGGAGGCGATGTTCTCTCTCATCGATGTTTCTGTCTCTCCCTTTCCCTCTAAAATCAGTAAAGAATGAATGAATGAATGAATGAATGAATGAATGAATGAATGAATAAATAAATAAATAAATTGAATGCCTGGGACTGGGGTAAAAAAACATTAACAGAAATGTATGGGATAATTTGTACTAGGGTGCATGTTATGCAAAGAGCAAACTTGTCCAAGAATAAACCTGGATACTCATGAGTTACCTAGACAACAAGCTAGATGGGGAGTAGGGCATCCTTTTTCCCCACCCCCAGCTGTAAAGGTAACACTAAAGCTCAGCTCCAAAGGACTGGCTGGGAGTGGGAGGTACTGAAACTTCATGAGCTTTAAATAGACCCAGCACTCCCCAAATCCCCAGGTTTAGGGCATCATCAAGTATTCTGAGTCAACTCTATAAATAGTTGATGCCTAAAATCCAGATTGCCAAGCAGCCTGTGTATTCCCCATCTGACAAAGCCATTTTATTATGCTTGTAGGAAGAGAGATCCGCAGGAGGTTGAAATTTTGTCCTCTGAAGTAGAATCCATGCCATGTCCTAGTGTACCTCTTGGTGCTAGTATATATCTTGGTGCTAGTACATGCCCTTAATCCTAATAAATCTCTTTAAGAGTTATTGGAGAGATTGGAATACGTTTCTCTCTTACCAACCCTGGCCTTATACGTTTTCCCTTTTCCCCCATTAAGTCTATTCTTTTTTGTTTAATATGTATTTTTTTTCCAGTATGTTTTTATTGATTTTTGACAGAGGAAGTGAGAGGGAGAGAGAGAAACATCAATGAGAGAGACCATTAATTGGCTGCTTCCTGCTGCCTCCACTGAGAATTTGGCCCACAACCTGGGCAAGTGTCCCAACTGGGAACTAAACTGGCTACCTCTTGGTGCATGAGTCGATGCTCAACAACTGAGCCACACCAGCCAGACCAAAAGTCTATTCTTTAACTGATACCTGGCTGAACAATAAGATGTTGTTGGCAGAACTGTAGAGACTGGTTAGGAGATTGTTTGTTTTGAAATAAAGATGGCTTGAACCAGGGTGTAACAGGAGGATGGAGAGAAGTGTATAGATGCAGGATATAGTAGGAGTTTGAATCAATAGAATTTGATGACACTAGATGTGGGGGCTGAGGAATATTGAATTAAGGTCTATATGGAACAGCAGAGAGCATCTGTGTTATATGGATCTAGAACTGTGTGTCCAATATGGTAGCCACCTGCCATTGAGTATGTGAAATGTGGCTACTGTGAATGTGCCACGAATGTGTAGAATGCATCCCAAATTTGAAAAACTTAATATGAAATAAAGAATGGAAAGTAGTTTCTATATTGATTACATGTTACAATGATGATATTTTGGATATATTGGATTAAGTAAAATAAATTAAGATTAATTGCACTTGTTTCTTTTTTCATGTAGCATTTTAATGTCACATTTATGGCTCACATTATATTTCTATTGGACAGTGCTGCTCTAGAGTTATAAAGAGGGGAACTGGTTTAGAGATAAAGATTGAGGAATAGTTGATGCTTTGGGTTATATAAGATCACCCTAGGACAGAGTAGAGTGATAACAGCAGAAATCTGCCCCAGTAGATGCTGACATTCAGGAGCAAATGGAGGTAGAGGAATGTAGTGGGTTCACTGAGAAAGAGTAGCCAGAGAGGTCAGAAGCAGGTAAGGGCATAGGATGTGATTGAAGCCAAAGGAGGAATTGACAGTGTATTTGAGTAAATAGGTGAGAAATAGAAAATCATGAAGATATTGTGGTTAAGGAATAGGATTTTAAGATTTAATAATTAAGAGGTGAGATAGTTTGGAGTAATAAGAAAATCCATAGAAAGTCAAAAAAAGTAATTCTGAAAGAAAGTCATAAGGAAATCTGTCTGCATAGTAGGTGGTGAGGGAGAGATGTGAAGGTCTTTGGGGTTGGGAATGTCTATAAATGATACAGTTTAAGAGCACGGAAGGCAGTCTATTGGAGAGACCAGCTTTGATTAATCTTCCTGTTTAACACTTCTTTGTTTGCTTATTACCTCCCCACCCACCTCCATTGACACCCATTTGCTTTCACATGACTACATAGAGATCTGCCTCCTTTTTTATTTATTTATTTATTTATTTTTTTATCCTCACCTGAGGACATTTTTCCATTTTTTGTACAGAGAGTGGGAGGGAGAGAGAGGAAGAGAGAGAGAGAGAAACATCGACGTGAAAGGGACACATCGAGTGGCTGCCACCCGCACGACCAACCAGGGCCGGGGACAAACTGCAACCGAAGTACGTGCCCTTAGCGGGAACCGAATCTGGGTCTCTCCGTACCGCAGGCCGACGCTCTAACCGCTGAGCCAAACCGGCCAGGGCGATCTGCCTCCTTTTTAATGGCTACATGGTATTCTATAACATGAATATACTGTTCATTTATTCCATAAAGATTATTGATCACAGTTTGGAAAAAGCAATTAGGTTGACTATGTAAGAACACACGTACATACATACATATATACATATTGTGTTAAATCTCACCTGTCACTGATTTAGGTTTCTTATGGCATTGTTCATTAAAGGTGAGGCTAGAGAAAGTGGATGCCTCCAGCTAACTGTAGCTAACGAGAACAGTTTATAGTTGCTATGTAAATAAGACAAATCTACATGTGTGTGGAATGTGATTTTTTTTTTACATTTGGGTTTTTAGGTTCAATAGAACCTCTCAATCCTAGACCGCAGACCACAATTTCTCCAGCAGATCTTCATGGAATGTGGTATCCTACAGTTCGGCGAACTCTTGTCTGTCTCTCCAAATTGTACAGATGCATAGATGTACGTGTGTAAATTCATACATCTTTATTGTAAATTGCTTGCTCTTTCATTAGAAATATTTTTAAATTTAAATTGTATTTTAAGATCTTGATACATTATTTTGTTTGGTATTAGATTAGAGTCATATGGTTTTTAGATATAGAGATAATTTTAAGATCAATCTAATTTAAGGATTTTTAACCTGAACATTCTATAGACCCTTAGAATTCACCAATGGGCTCTGGGTAGTCTGTGAGCACCTTAATGTTGTGGGTAAAATTGTGTATGTATGCTTGTATTTGTGTCTTTCTGAGGATAGCTTGTATTGATTCTCTTAGGGGTCTATGACCACAAATAAATGTAAAACTATGGATTAATTAATTTGTCTTAGTTTATAGATGAAGAGAAAGAGATGCAGAAAGGTTAAGTGATATGTCCAGTGTCACATAGGTATAATATACATTTAGTATTTGGATTTAGTATTAAATGCAACTACTTTAATTTTGCACTTAGTTTAAATCAGCTTCCTTAACAACTAGTATTAAGAGTGCATGTTTTTCTAACCATGGACTGATTTTAATTATTTGCTGAAATTAGCAGTACCCCCACCCCCCACATTTTTATTTATTTATTTATTTATTTATTTTTTTATCCTCACCCGAGGACATTTTTCCATTTTTTGTTCAGGTAGAGTGGGAGGGAGAGAGAGGAACAGAGAGAGAGAGAGAGAGAGAAACATCGATGTGAAAGGGACACATCGAGTGGCTGCCACCCGCACAACCGACCAGGGCCGGGGACAAACTGCAACCGAGGTACTTGCTCTTAGCAGGAACCGAACCCGGGTCTCTCAGGACCGCAGGCCGACGCTCTAACCGCTGAGCCAAACCGGCCAGGGCACATTTTTTTTTTTTTAAAACACAAATATATACTTGTATTGATTTCAGGAAACAGTTATTTTAAGCATTTCAGTTTATGATTATCAGTCCCTGAAAGATCATATTTGTCTACATTTATTTATGATTAGTGGTTTGTTGCTGAACCAGAATAGTTTATAAAATTCAGTGGTTTTTTAAAATTTTTAAATTCATTTTAGAGAGAGGAAAGGAAAGAGAGAAGGAAACATTGATGTGAGAGAGAAACATGGATCAGTTGCCTCCCCCACATGTCCCAACCAGGGATTGAACCTGAAACCTGGGTTAGTGCCCTGACCGGGAACTGAACCCACCATCCCTTGGTGGACAGGACAACGCTCCATTCAACGGAGCCATACTGGCCAGGGCAAAATTCAGTGGTTTTACTTCACTTTTAAAAATTTAATTAGATTGCTATAACCCAAATGGCATATAAAGAGAGAAGTGATTAAGTACAAGTCATGTAAATCAGTTGTCCAGATGCCACTATTTCTTAAGAATATGGGTCAAGCCCTGGCCAGTTTGGCTTAGCAGTTAGAGCATCATCTCGCGGACCAGAGAGGTCTGGGTTCGGTTCCCGCTAAGGGCATGTGCCTCGGTTGCAGTTTGTCCCTGGCCCCGGCTGGGCTGGGGTAATGTGGGTGGCAACCACTCAATGTGTCTCTCTCACATCGATGTTTCTCTCTCTCTCTCCCTTCCTCTCTCCCTCCCACTCTATCTGAAAAAAAAAAAAAAAAGGCCTCAGGTGAGGATAAAAAAAAGAATATGGATCAAAAAGGTATATGCATTTCCTCTCACTATGGAGCTGTTCTGGCTCTGAGTCCCAGGGCCTGACAAGTTTACATAGCTGTTTCATTGGCTCAGTATAGTGTACACTACTTGGTATCTATTTTAAACTGTGTTTGGAGATTTTGAAATTCAACCACAATGTGCCTTTTGCCCAGTTTTGGGACTTTTAGAGGTGAGGCCAAGTCACCTCTACAGAGTACAGAGTTAAATGTCTCAACTTTTTGCCCAGCTGATGAGGTCTCTTCCAGAGGGAGTTTTGGACATTGGTATTTTTCCCAGGTTTTCCAGTAGGTGTATTGAATGATGCTATTGCACTGGGATTCAGAAACTCCCAACGGTGGAGCCAGGATCCCAAGGGAAATACACAGGGGGCACATTCCACATAGAACCCATTGTCATCACAGGCCCTAGTGAGGCCTCTTAGGTTCTTAACAGGAATTTTAGCCAAATAGTAGGTAGGCCTAAGGATATACGTCACTGTGCCTGTATTTATTTTATGCCCTCAGCCTATTATTTTCTCACCTACCTTACATTAAAATCTTATCCCTCTCTATCTTACCCATCAAAGGTGAAGAAAGGCAAATCCAATGAAAACCCCATTAAGGCTGAGCAGGAGAAAGAGAGGGTCTTAGTCTAAGGGGCCATCTTCGGTCTTCCTAAAGTACGGTCAATCTCTTCTTACTGTAGTAACCTTGTGGGAAACCAAATAGAGGGAACAGAAAGAAAATAGCCTAAAGTATGAGACCAGGGCCAGGACTATGACCTAATAATAAATATTTTGCTCAAACTCATTTATATCAATTTCATTTGGGAGTGGATGCAAGGAGGGAAGTAAGGGGACTGACAGTAGTCCTTGCCCAGACCAGCATGCCACACCTCTGGGAAGATACAGAAATGACAATCAATCTAAGAATCATACTTAATATACTATTTTGTAACCTGATTTTTAATTTAATTATATTTATAAGATTTCACCACCTCCTTTAGCATTTTTTTATTTCATCACAGTGTTCTATAATTTAGATTTACTGGTATTTTACTTGTCAGCCCCTTTACCCTTGAACATTTATTTCCAGTTTTTTTCTGTTTTAAATAATACTGTGATGAAGTGCTGCATGCATGAATCTTACAGTACTGTTCAATTACTTGGGATACATTTTTAGAAGTGGATTTACTGAGGGTCTGCAACATGAGATCATACTGGAGTGAGAGCTCAGCCTTGTCTACTCACTACTGTACTTCCAGCATCTAGCACAGAGCTTGGCATGAAATAGGTGCTCAGGAAATATCATTAGAGGGTCACGTGAGTGTTTTGAGAGATGCAAACCACAAAACTATGTGCTGATCTAGAAAGGTTGCATGGGAATAGGAAATTTCAGGAGGAGTGAATGTTGCCAGTAATATAAATTCAACCAATGGATGGGGGCAAGTCCCTGTACTCAGCCTATGATCTTCCGTTTTTTCTGTTTGTGAAGTGCTACAGGGTGATGTTTCTGTTTTATTTCACCAGAGGGCAGTGTTCCAAGGATTATCACAGGAAGCGTTGTCTGCCTGCATTCAGTCGTTACTTGGAGCATCAGAATCCATCAGCAAAAACAAGGTTTGATGACGTGTTAGGTGCTTGTTACATATAATAATGTGGCATACAGCATTTATGTATAGGCACATAAATTTAAAGGCATTTGGCAGTAGGATTTGTTTGATTAACGACTTAATTTTGAGGCCCTTGAGAGAAGCTAGTATTTTATTGTAGTGCTAAATAAGGACTACATTGTTTAAGAGAGCTCCAAGTTTGCTAAAGTACCAAAAATAATAATTAGATTATAAATTCTATAGGATAAAAGTTTCTTGTTGTAGCCTTAGCAACTGGGGAGGTGTTGGACTGCTGTCTCCTTGGAATATCAAAACAGGGTTTTCAAGGAAATATAGCAAATTAAAATCATCCCTACAATGATGTTTTATTTTATTTTATTTTTAAATAGTTGAATGACCTCACTTGGAGGAAATCAGCCGGTCAGTTTGGAAGATAGACAATTACGGCCCATGGGTTGTACGACCAGGAATAGTTGCCATGACTTTGTGACTTGCAGTTTTCAGTCAGGAGAGGTATGGGGCTGAGAACTGCCGCCATGCACTTCTCCCCGGGCCCTGGGACTGGTTTACAGCACGACTGAAAGTGGTGTTCTGCCAGCTCTTCACTTAGGATGCCTGTCGCCTACAAGGAGGGAGCGGTGGGGCTGTCTCCAGCCACAATTTCTTTGCTGCTTGGAGTGTTCAAACCTTGTTAACCTTCTGGACCTCCAGATTTACAAACTTGATTTCTAACTTTAGGGTTTTAGACAAGTTAAAAAAAAACACCTCACAAGAGTTTGGGAAAGTTCTGCCTTTGTTTGTGACCACTATGTTCCTCCATTTGTGGAATGGAGAATTGAAAGCACTGCAAGAGGACGGAAAGTTAAATTACAGAGAGGCAGATTTAAGTTTTAAAAAGTGTTTCCAAGTCTGAGCTCTCATATTTTTTATAATAGATGAAATATACATAACTGTAATGAAAACATACATTAAAAAAATGTAACATTGCAAGCTTTTGGGTGACTATGGGTGATTTCTCCTCCTTTTCCCTACACTTTTACTTTTCTAGATTTTCTACAATGAGCATGTATTTATTAGATCAGCAGGAGGAAAAAAATGTCCCAATGAAAAAAAGTTCACATGCTTATGTCCTCTTGTACCAGTGTGCTCGATTGATTGATTGATTTCCTCACCCGAGGGTATTTTTCCATTTTTGTTCAGATAGAGTGGGAGGAAGAGAGGGAGAGATAGAGAAACAATGATGTAAGAGAGACACATGACTGGTTGCCTCCTGCACGACCCCAACCAGTGCTGGGGATGAACCGCAATTGAGGTACGTGCCTTTCACCGGAATTGAACCCATGATTCATTGGTCCGTGGGCCTATGCGCTAACTGCTCAGCCAAACATTGGCCAGGGCCCAATGTCCTCTTTTTTAAGGGCGGAGTGAAGAGCCTTTTGATTATTCAGTCTTTGACCTCATTGCTTCTTTTATGTAACTGTTTCCTACATATTATAAGGGGTTTAAGTATGTATGAGGAAGCCCGCAGTTGGGTAAGCATTAGTGAATTGATTTTCATGGCTGAGTTTGTATACTTTTGCCTTTCAGGCTTTTTTTTAAATGAGTTTATTTGAACCAAACGGATGACATATGTTGGGGAGTAAGTTCTCAAATGATCTGCAGAATAACAGTTTTGTAGTTTCTTTTATGCATTTGAAATTAAGGAGGTTATGTAAGGGAATATTACATGAAGGTGGAAGAAAGCAAGGTAGGATTGGATTACAGGACAGTTAAGATTATTTGCTCTCTTGAGAGTGGTTACATCTTAGGGGTCTGAAAAGAGGCATATTAAAGTATGTTAACCTAGATTCACATAACGATGGACAGGACTTTCTTAAGGTAAAGATAACCCCTTCATAAAGAAGTGCCTGGCCGGTGTGGCTTAGTGGTTGAGCATCGACTCATGCACCAAGAGGTCGCCAGTTCGAGTCCTGGTCAGGGCACATGCCCAGGTTGTGGGCCCAATCCCCAGTGGGGGGCATGCGTGAGGCGGCCAGTTGATGTTCTCTCTCATTGGTGTTTCCATCTCTCTCTCCCTCTCCCTTCTTTTTTCTCTAAAAATCAATAAAGAAAAAAAAAATTTATCTTTATTTTTTTTATCCTCACCTGAGGACATGTTTTTTGTTTTTTTGTTTAGATAGAGTGGGAGGGAGAGGGGGAGAGAGAGAGAGAGAGAGAGAGAAACATCAATGTGAAAGGGACACATCAAGTGGTTGCTACGTGCAAGACCCAACCTGGGCCGGGGACAAACTGCAACCGAGGTACATGCCCTTAGCGGGAATCGAACCCGGGTCTCTCTGGACTGCAGACCGATGCTCTAGCCACTGAGCCAAACCTGCCAGGGCGAAAAAAAAAATTTAAAGAAAGAAAAAAGAAGTTGTATTCCTGGGGCATAACTACCTATCATAACCTTCCTGGTTAGGCATTTATGATCAGATGACCCTGAGGTTATTTTCCATAGAACCCCATTTTTTTGTCCACAGTTCCCCCTTTTGGTCATAAAACAATCCAAAGGATGCATTGATGACCAATCTTTTGGTCAGATAGTGTGATCTCACAGCACTAGGAAGGCTTATTACCAGGAAGGTTCAGTATTGATGTTTTCTTGTTGACCACTGGGGATGAGGCAATACTGTAATCATGGGATCTGAGTTGAGAGGTTGAATTTTTCCCAAAAAGGGAAGGGCAGTTAAATGGAAGGCAGTCAGGTCTTAAGGACTTCCTTACAAATAAAACGCTGTGGATCATTTCTGTTCTGTGAACTCTCATGTTTCAGTTTTGCCTAATTGCCGAGTTCCATCTATCATCTAGTATAATGTTTACATAAGCCATGAAAAGAATATTAACAGTGATCTTATACATGTTCAGTAATTATAAACAGTTGGACTCTATATAAAAACCCAAAGAAAAAGTATGATTATTATTATGACTAATATCATTAGCAGACAAGTAAAGCCAATCAAGCAAAGTGGACCCAGAGTTCACTATCAACCAGTAGTTATACAAGCTTGTCGATGTGTTGGGGTAGCTGTCTGCCTCTGGTGTCAGCAGCTTCTCATCTCCGAGGAGTCTGATCTCTGCTAGGCACAGGTGAGTATTAGAGACCGGTAGATGGCCATTTGTAGTTATGTCCCTGATAAATTCTCTTCCGGTGAGATTGGAGAGTGTCTTTTATTTGACATTCTTTCTAAAAAACAGTGTTTCTGGGAGCTTACTGGGAAAGGAAGCGGTTATCAACTTGGCATTTTCTTTAAGTGATTCTATCAAACCTTGGCAATAATGTAAGATATCTCCTTTCAATAACGTTGGCTCCTAAGATCCTTTATTGAAGTTCAGCTTAAATGCACTATGATGCATAAAGGAATGTAAAAACCAAAACATGGTGTTTGCCAGGGAGCCAAGAGAAGAACCAAGTAGTCGTTGTGGGTTTCCCATAGTCCTGACTATTTAATTTATAGTCATTGTTTACCCGTATGATATACCCTAGAAGTTTTTCATAGTTTATTTTACAGTGTTTCTCATGCAATTTAACATAAACAACAATTTTTTTGAGGTGTTCCAGGGGCCCTTCTGTGACACTGCAAAGTGATTCCTACATATATTGAGATTTTAACTCTTAAAATTTCAGTTTTTAATGAAAATTAAGAAGCAATTTGCATTCTTTTTTTATTTTTTATTGATTTCAGAAAGAGGAAGGGAGAAGGGAGAGAGACATCGATGAGAGAGAACATCGATGGGCTACCTCCTGCATGGCCCCCCCAGTGGGGATCAGGCCCACAACCTGGGCGTGTGCCCTGACTGGGAATCTAACTTGTGACCTCTTGGTGCATGGGTCAACGCTCAACCACTGAACCACACCAACCGGGCACAATTTGCATTCTTTATCTTGGCAGATTTATGAGGACATTTTATAACCTCTAGAAACATCTTTCATAGACATTAATGTTATTTATTAACATGGACTTATTTTTGTAAAACCCAGGTTAAATAAAGACATGTCTGTTTGACTTAAACCAACAAACGTATTCCACTAGCTTTTATTTACTAAGGATTAATCTTAGGTCATGTGAAATAAGCATTTGAGTAAGTTTCTATATTTCTGAGAATTTTAGAATAATACTCAATCCTTACAAGTACTTGCCTTTAAATTAATTTTAACACTTTCATCCCAAGGTAGAAAATTCTCTCACATTTACAACACATATATATAGACATACACAGACAGACACAAACAGAGATCCAAATTTTGTTTTGGAGAAACTTAGAATTTATATCTGTGCTTGACAAGTCAAGTTCCAAACGAGCTTCCCTCAGGGCAGCCCTTTTTAATACTTCAGAGGATTGGGTTGACACCTAAAGGGCATCACAGGTTGATCCTTTTATGAAAATCCCGTTTGGAAGCTTGGAGAGACCAATTAAATATATTTTCCATTCTTTCTGCCTAATTGTATAGCCCTTTTTCCCTAATTGTGAGTACAAAAGATTATTTTAGAAGTGTGAAAGGATCCTCATATTTGCCATCCTAGTATTAACAGGAGGCTGACTGGCTCACTCACAGGGCTTGTTGACCTTGGAGGCATGGTTTTCCCTGTTATTTATTTTGGTTTTTATTTTTTATCCTCACCCAAGGATATGTTTTTATTGATTTTAGAGAGATAGGGAGGGAGGGAGAGAGAGAGAAGAGAGAGGGGAGAGAGAGAGAAAAAACATCCATGTGAAGGAGAAACACTGATTGGTTGCCTCCTGTGTGTGTTCCAACTGGGAATCGTACCTGCATCCCAGCTGTGTGCCCTGACTGAGAATTGCACCTGCAACTTTTTGGTGTATGGGATGACATTCCAAGTACTGAGCCACCCGGCCAGAGCTTTCTTGTTAATTTTGAAATCTGTAAAGTCTGAACAAACTTCTAGGGAAAAGTAGTCTTTATGTGTATGAGCCAAATACAGTAAATATCCCTGTAAGACTACTTTACACCCTAGAAGAAATTTTCCTCAGGCAACCCCACCAAGTTTCTTAGTTACTTAAGAATACCTGAGCAAGGCCCAGAGAGAGCTTACCAGATGCTGCCAGAGCCACACCCTTTCCAAAGCACAGGCCCCTCTCTTGATCCCTTCTCTCGGGGTGACCCCATTGCAGGATGCTCTGCCCTTCTCCCCAGGGCCCCTGGAGGCTTCTCTGGGATCAGCTGCACTACTGCACTGGACAACTCCTGGCCCCCATCTCTGCCACTATGGTTTCGGGGTCTGAACAGTTGCTGTCTCCCTATTGGCTGTTTGGGTGGGAGAAGCAAATGTCCTTTCTCTTTTGGAGCTAAAGAGAGTTTAGTCTCTCATTTGACCAAGGAAGATTTTGTTCTGATTCTCAATAAGCAATCCGATTAAAAAGCTGAGATTAAAAACAGCACCCCCTTTTTTCCCCTTTCCTTGAGTTATGTCAACCCTTACCACCAAGAGGGTTTTCTAAGAAGAGTTCAAATAAAGTCTTGGCCTGCTACTTGAAGCAAGGAAGGCCAGAATTCTGAGAGAAACTCATCCAAGTTCCCTGATGCAGAGCGAGAAGCTAGCTGGTAGGGCACAATGGGCCCTTGCCTGTACCTAGCACCAGGTCCAGGTCTGTAAGGTGGTCCTGAGTGGGCTTCTTTGGAATCTTGCTGACTATGCCAAGTAAATGTTGATATAAAAATGTCTAAACCTGTAGAGAATTTTTATAAGAGTTTATTTGAGCCGAACTGATGACTTATGCTGGAGAACCAGATCTCAAACTTTTAAAAAAGTGATCAGTGAAAATGATCACTTAATGTCTTAGAGAGTTTTTTAAGGCAAGAAATTGTTCTTACTTAAATTGAGCACCTAGTATATCAGTCATCTAAAGTACTATTTCCTGGATCACAACAGCTTTAGTAAGGTAAATTGAATCTGTGTTACACTGTTTTGTTCATTGGAGTTGCTAGTTCTTTTATTTTTATTTTTTTCTTAATCCTCCCCCAAGGATATATTTCCATTTATCTTCAGATAGAGTAGGAGGGAGGGAAAGAGAGGAACATCGACATGAGAGGGACACTTTGACTGGATGCCTCCTGCACGACCCTGAACAGGGCCAAGGACGAACCACAACTGAGGTGCGTGCCCTTGACTGGAATCAAACCCGCGACTCAGGTTCACGGGCCGATGCTCTAACCACTGAGAGAAACCGGCCAGGACATATTTTTATTTTTTAATTATTATTTTTAATCCTTACCTGACGATATGTTTATTGATTTGAGAGAGGAAGGGAGAGAAAGAAACATCTATGAAAGAGAAATACCGATTGGTTGCTTTCCCAAATGTGTCCAGACTGGGGATTGAACCTTCAACCTAGGTATGTGCCTTCATCGGATTCAAACCTGCTACCTTTTTTGGTGTACAGGATGACATTCCAACAAACTGAGCCACCCAGCCAGGGCTGGAGTTGCTAGTCTTTTAAACGTAGAACAAGTATTCAAAGTGTGCTGCATTCCCTACCCATCTAATGCTCTGTTCTAGAGTGCAAAGTTAGTTCCATCTGTATACTTATGTGTTTATTTAGAAGGTGGGGAGAGACCAGAGAGGAGTCCCTTTGTTCCATAGTCCCTTATTCTTTTTCTAATGTAGTATAATTTTATTAGAACTATTTTCTTTCTTTTTTTTTTTTTTAATCCTCACCTGAGGATATTTTTCCATTTTTTGTACAGATAGAGTGGGAGGGAGAGAGAGGAAGGGAGAGAGAGAGAGAGAGAGAAACATCGACGTGAAGGGACACATCGAGTGGCTGCCACCCGCACGACCAACCAGGGCCGGGGACAAACTGCAACCGAAGTACGTGCCCTTAGCGGGAACCGAACCCGGGTCTCTCTGGACCGTAGGCCGACGCTCTAACCGCTGAGCCAAACTGGCCAGGGCTCATTAGAACTATTTTCAAGGTAGGATTATATCTTGTTAGGAAGGAGTAAGAGGAAGCAAACCACCATCGTCCTGTTTTATACAGACTTTTTTTCTGAGATTATTCACTAGTTGGTTCAGAGCTTTGAGAACTTAGGGTGAGTCACAAGACTCTTGTGGATGGGTCCAGAGAGGGCAAAAGGAAATGCAGAGATTTTCAGGAGTGTAGGTGGCCAGTGCTCTGTTGGTGGCAGGATAATCCAAAGTGGTTAGCCCAAATCATTGTGCATTTGGAGGCTCCTTTTGTATTTTTGTATAAATGTGACTATTTCTGATATTCGGGATTTTGAAACCACTTTGACCAAATACTGAAAGCTGCGTTACTGAAGAGAAACAAACTAGAATGGCACGAGAGGTCAGAGTCATGCTCACTCTTGGAACTTTTATTTTATTTCCTACTCTGAGCTGATGTTCTCTTCTGCTTTTGTACCAAGTTAAAATAGGTTTGACTTCTCTTTCTAACTGTGTTGCTTTACAACATTCTGTCTGATTTACTTTCTTGGATTTACTAAGTAGAGCAGGTAACAGTGTTGGTAACAGTTTGAAGCAAGATTTTCCCAGATAATTCTAGTCTGGATAATATGGGGAAAGTTCATTGTACAACAAAGTAGTGTTGGTGCCATAAAGTTACATTAAAGTTAGGTCAGGCTCCATACACTTAGATTAATAATGTTTGTTTTATATGTTCATATTTTTATTTCACCTGTGATAATATCCATTTTTCTGTCTTATCATTTAGACTCAGATTGATGGACAACTTTTCTTAATAAAGCATCTTTTGATTCTTCGTGAACAAATTGCTCCATTTCACACTGAATTCACCATTAAGGAAATTTCCCTGGACCTCAAGAAAACTAGAGGTACTTTATTATCCTGGCTGACACAGTTGGGTGTGTTCGACCTGTCCAAATGTATCAGCACAGGTTATAGGTTTATTTTATGTTCATCTGCAATTTTTTTTGCATGCTGTGCTTGCTAAGCATGTTACTTATTCATACTAAGCTGAGCTGTCAACATCCTAACTACATCTAACTTGCTGTATTTTCTTTATAAAGGGAAATATATCTGAGCATTTCAGTTTGTAATATAGCATGACCTCTCTTACTCTGCCACATATTACCATAACCAGTTAACAAATGAAAAATCAGTATAACAACTACTTAACAGTGTCAGCTAATTGGGATGGTTTTAAACATTGAGTTTGTCAGTTCATGAAAATTCAGGAAACCAGCTGGGTTTAAGGGGAAGAGTATTTGTCTGAGTCTGAAAAAGTCGGATTCTGTTCCTGACTCATCGTTTCCTGGCTCTTGTGTGATCTTGGATGGGTGTTTTAGCTTTTGTATGCTAGGTAGAATGAGCATGATTAACATGTCATGAAACCTTTACCAGGTCATCAAATCAATTACGATCACTAAGAATGAAAATGTAAGTGCTTTGTAAGCTTTAGGTATTTAAGTTAATGTAAGTGGTGTTATTGTTAAATCAGTTGGTTGTTAAATAATTGTGTAGATAGGGTCTGTGAGTTGGTAACAGACATAACATCATCTTGGGAAAGATGCCTCATCTATCCTAATCATTTGTCTCTGAATTAATAAGCGATGATTTCTAAAAGGTCAATGTAGTTATTTTTTAAGATGTTGATCTTAAGTAGTGAAGAGTATACCACACATATCCCTCATCTTCTTACTTAGAAAATTATCTGAACTTTATAATTTCTTAACCATTTTTAAGAGAATTAAGCCCTAATGACTTAAGCCATTCATTTATGTAGTGAAGGAATTTCTCTCATGTTTTGGGGGAACTGAGGAACTTCATAATCACTCAAATTATTTTCTGTATTCTGTGGTTCAGTGGCATTCTAAATAGAGGATTTCCAAGGTAGTAGGTTGTTCTATAATAACTGTGCCTGTAATTGGTAGACTTAATTTAACTCATCTGAGAGCCAATTTGGCCTCATCATGAGTCATATTAAAACAGTTTGCTCTTTTTCTTTTCTTAATGCTCTGTTCTTTCCACAGAGAATGCTCTTTGGTTCTATTGGAATTTGGATGGTAAACTTGTGTGTTATTTATATACTTTGTGATTTTTTTTTTTTAAGCAGCTAGATTTCCTGGCTTTTTTCCTGAGAATGTATAATTTTTCTAGAGCTTTTTCTCGTCAGAAACTTCTCTCTCTCAACCATTGTAGTTGATTTTCTTATTTCTTTTCAGTGTGCGATGTGGGAATAGTGCTTGGAGGCTTGATGAATGCCAGGCACTGATAGTCCTTAGTTTTACCTTTTAGTGGTGGGATAAAGCAGGGCTGATCTTCTTTCTTTCATTTTCTAAAGTTCATAATTTGTTGCTGCTGGATTCTAATATAGATCCACTGAGATGTGAGAAAATTAACTACCCTAAAATTTTGGCAAATACTGGTTTAAAGTCTGTTTTCCTTAAAGCATATGTAATCTCACCATATGTTGATTTGATTCTACTTATTGCAGACACTCTTTCAGGTATCTTGTAGAAAAGAGAGCAGAAACAAAGAGCCATTTACTAAAGCCTTACTCTGAACACGAGCTGAAAGCGAGGTTCTTTCTCAGTAAGATCAGTGTCAGGGCAGTAAGCACTATTGTGGTAAAACTATGGTTGAAAGCATTGCATGCTTTGCTTTCTACAGTCTGGCAAAGCAAAGCAAAGCAGTGGTCTTTTCTGACTACCCCTTAATAATACTTACTATCTTTACTTTTAAGCCTCTAACCTCTCACAACTAATGTTATATCTTATTGCATTTGAACATCAATGAGACCTTGGTTAATACTTTACATAGATTCTAGTTGGTCTGGAGGTTAAGGGGTAAATATGTCCTTTTGGTGTTTTCTTTCTGGCTGACACATTAGTTTATTCACTCTGCTTCAAATGAATAAATTTCTGTGCCAGCCAGGATCTTAACAAAAGAAGCTGGGTAAGTATATGAATATTAAAATAACCCAAAACCTATATAGCATCATCAAAGTAAAGCAATGAAATTTTAAGGTATCAATGACCATATATCATTTTTCTATAAATGAATAATTAAGCTTAATAGTCATTTTGCATTTCTGACTTCTAGAAAATAACGGTATGTGGGTACTGTGGCTGTGTTGGCACTAACCTCACTGTCATCATGGAGATGAGTTGGTGAAAAATGCTCTTACTGTGTGGTAATAGAGAACTAGTGTATGTTAACACACTGAAACAGTAACTCGGCTTTTCTGTTGAAATTGTACATATTCACTGGATGAGGAATTTTGTTCCACAGATGCAGCATTTAAAATCCTGAACCCTATGACTGTTCCAAGATTTTTTAGGCTGAATAGCAACAATGCCTTGATAGAGTTCTTGTTGGAGGTGAGAAGGAATCTCTTTCATTGGTGGTGGGAGATAAACGACATTCTTTACATGCTTGGTAATTTCTAAGCACATAAAAACAGGAGAAATTGTCATCTCTTTTAGGGTACTCCTGAGATAAGAGAACACTATCTTGACTCTAAAAAAGATGTAGACCGTCACCTGAAATCAGCCTGTGAGCAGTTTATTCAGCATCAGACCAAGCAATTTGTAGAGCAGCTGGAGGAGTTCATGACAAAGGTATAGACCGTGGTGCATATTTGGTGAAGTAATTTTGAATTCTTCCCTAGGTTTCCTTTTCAATTGAAAATATGTAAGCATTAAGATGTCTACAGCAGTGTCATTATGAGACAGTGGGCTTGTGTTCATCCTGTAGGGTTTTAAAAAAGGATAGGGTTAATTGGGGAAAACTTTTTTTTTTTTTAAGTATGAAGATTTATTTCAGGCTTTAGATCCCAATTGATTTCAAAAACCAAAATCTGATTTCTTTCCTCAGAACAGCTGAGGCCTCTGTGTTAGGATGATTTTCTGGAGGCTGAAGGGGCTCTGTGCCCTTAGGAACACATTTCATCAGTCTTAGCACAGAGTCCCCGATGCCCACGGTACCCCAGACTTAAGAATGGGAAAGAAACAAAATTCACCACCATATAGGGCTGAACAAATGCACACACACTAATGTAAATGGAACGGCTAAACCTTGGCAATTTTTTTTTTCAGTTTTGTGGGATTTTTGTGTTTTTTTATTTTTCCATTTTCTTTTGCTACCCAGCATATGCAGCACTTGTGAACTCCCAATGGTTTCCCAGCTTTAAACACATTAAACGTCTTGATGAAAGACTATTTAATTCTTCAAGAATCTAAAAACAGACCAACGTGTTTTGCTGTGAACACTTTGTAGAGACGAAGTGAGGCAGGGGTTTGGGTTTAAAGAAAAAAAAAAAAAAGAATCAATACAGTGATGGAAGGGTAAAGAATGCAAGGATTCGGACATTCTGTAGAGGATTACCTTCTCTCCATTAAGTGGTCCATAAAAAGGAGCAAACTGAGATCCATAAGGGGAGTCAGCAAGAGCCGTGTTTGTTTTCCCCGCCCCCTGTGATAGGTTTTTGCTTCAGGACCACTGCTAGGTCCTCACTTGCTCCCCTCCCTTTGGCCTGAGATGGCAGGGCAGTACAGGGGCTTTGAAGGAGCAGGTCACGACTCCTCATTCCCAGAATCATCATCATCATAACAGTCGGCATCTTCCTCCTCCTCATCTTCATCATCAATGTCGTCGTCATACAAGTCGTCATAAAGCAAATCTGAGCTGTTGTCATTGGAAGGCACTTTAGTTTTGATGCAGTATTCTGCCAGGGTCGTGGGGACTTTCACTCCATCTTTTTCTGCTTCGGCTTTAGTGGCTGAAACCTGTTTTCTAATGATTTCAGCATATTCTTTGTCTTTTCCTTTACTGTCCCTCCATTTCCTGAACATAACCGAAGCATCCACATTGGCTGGGGAGAAGGTGTTGGGCTCATTAAGCAATGAGATTACACTTAACAGGATAGTCCTGACATTCTGAGTAGGATTCCACCTTTCGGAGGGCAATTCACCACTCTGTGGGTCATCTACAGGCGGATGAAGAATTGAAATGCATACATCTCCATTCTCATAAATGTTGGGGTGCCACATTTTGGTCAAGAACCTGAAGGTAGGTGGTGAATATGGGTAGTCAATAGGAAATTTAATATGCGCCTTGAAGTAGCCGCCTTCGTAGAGAGTGTTGGGGGGGTCCGAAGATGGCAACCTCCCAGTTGTAGAGGTCGGACTCATCCACCAAGGTGATCCGGAAGCCCTCCACTGGTTCCTCCTGCAGGGATTTCAGCTCCAGCATCAGGGCCTTCTGTGAGCTGGTCATCTGCTGCTGGGCCATCGCGGCGGCGGCGGCAGCGCCGGGCCGGGGCCCCAGTCCTCACGCACCGGCCGAGCCGGACCAGGCCCCTCGGGAAAACTTTTTTTTTATCCTCATTCAAGGACATTTTTTTCAATATTTTGTTCAGATAGAGTGGGAGGGAGAGAGAGAGAGAGAGAAACATCGACGTGAAAGGGACACATTGAGTGGTTGCCACCCACACGACCCAGCCAGGGCCGGGGACAGACTGCAACCGAGGTACATGCCCTTAGCGGGAACCGAACCCGGGTCTCTCTGGACCGCAGGCCAGTGCTCTAACCACTGAGCAAAACTGGCCAGGGCTAATTGGGGAAAACTTTTGAAGAAAGTTCTCTTTGAACTTAAGATGAATGTATTACCTAGATAGTAAATAGATATGAATGTACGAGTTTGTATCTGTTGTTTAATATACAAATAATTATATACAGTTGTGATGCAATTGGTTAAATTCTGGAATAATCAGTTGAATAATAGGTAGTCATTACAATTAAAAATAACTTGGATACAGAAAAATATCTAGAATTTAGATTTAAAGGGAGAAAGAAGTTTTCAGAGCATTGTATTTCTGTTTTAGAAGTGTAGACCAATTAGTGTGTGTATATATTTATGTTGGAAATTGTTTCGGGGCAGTGCTAGGAATGTAGTGACTTGCTTATCTTAGTCTGAGGTGCAGAGGGGTCCAGAGTTCCACGTCCTACTTGAGAGTTTGTTTCAAGATGACTGCAAACTGGTATAGTTCCTATGGAAAACAGTATGGCGACTCCTCAAAAAGCTGAAAATGGATGTACCATACAACCCAGCAATTCCACTTCTGGGTATTGATCCAAAGCAAATGAAAACACTAGTTTGAAAAGATATGTGCACCCCTATGTTCATTGCAGTATTATTTACAATAGCCAAGATATGGAAGCAACCTAGGTGTCCATCAATAGATAAATGGATAATTAATAAAGAAGATGTATATATTTATAGTGGAATATTGCAGTATTAAAAAAGAATGAAATCTTGCAATTTGAAACAACATGAATGGATCTAGAATGTATTTTGCTAAGCAAAATAAATCAAAGATAAATACCATATGGTTTTGGCCAGCCGGTGTGGCTCAGTGGACTGACGGTTGTCCCATGGACTGAGAGGTCCTGATTTGTTTCCTGGTCAGGGCACATGCTCGGATTTCAGGCTTCATCCCCAGTAGGGGGTGTGTGCAAGGTGGCAGATTGATGTTTCTTTCTCACATCTATGTTTCTTTGGTGCACAGGCCATCGCTCTCAGGACCGCAGGCCGACGCTCTCACCGCTGAGCCAAACCGGCCAGGGCCACAGGCCATCGCTCTAACCTCTGAGCTAAACCAGCCAGGGCAAACATCGATGTTTCTATCCCTTCCTCTCTCTCTACAAAATCAATAATTAAAAAAAAAAAAATTCAGTATGATGAAATTCTATAACACTAAAAAATAATCAACAGTTTTTGAGTTTGATAGAAAACGTCTGATTCAAATGTTTTCCTTTTTAAAAAAAATTTTAAAAAATATGTTTCTATTGATTTTTTTTTTAGAGAAAGAGGAAGGGAGAGAGAGAAACATCGATTAGCTGCCTCCTGCATGCCCCCTTCTGGGGATCAGGCCTGCAACCCAGGCGTGTGCCTCAACCAGGAATCCAACTGGGACCTCTCAGTCCATGGGGCAGTGCTCAGTCTACTGTGCTACACCGGCTGGCCTGACTGTAACGTTTTCATAGGGACCTCTACCCCAACAGTAAACATGAACATGTTCTTTTAGCATTGTCTAGTCTGTAGTCATATGTATGATTGCTTTTACAAGTCGCCTTATAATAAAAAGGACAGACATGAAGAAGAATTGGGGAGTAGTAGGAAAGAGGTAATCTTATACTTAAGGCAGAGTGAGTAAAGACTGAGTATGGTCCAGAAATATAAACTTGGTAGAAATAGAGAAAAGTCTGGAAAGCTCTGAGTTAACATTATTGTTGTCTGTGGCCAACCTCTGCTTAAATATTTGTGTGTCCTTTAAGAGAAATCTAAAGAGTAGGTGCTCAAAATTTTCTAATGAGATTGTCTAGTGAGGTCAAAATCATGGCCTGGACTTTTGGCACCCAGCAATCTTTTTTTTTTAAATCCTCACCCAAGGATATTTTTTCCACTGACTTTTAGAGAGAGTGGAAGGGAGGGCGAGAGGTGGCAGGTGTGTGTGTAGGGGGAGAGAGAGAAAGAAAGAAACATCGATGTGAGAGAGTCACATTGAGTTACCTCCCTCACATGCCCTGACCAGGGCCACGGATCGAACATGCAACCCAGGTATGTGCCCTTTACTGGAATTGAACCCCTAACCCTTTGGTGTGAGGACCCACACTCTAACCACTGAGCCATACCAACCAGGGCAACAATCTATTTAAAAAAAAAATGTTTTGTGCAGTTTTTGCCTTTTCCCCCTTCCAGTTATACCTTAGCCATAACTTGCCATCTTAAGAACAGTCTTGTCCAAGAAGTTTACTGTACTTTTTTTGGTTTTGCTTCTCTGTACTGATGCTGAGAAATGAAGAGAGAGATGACTCGAAGGTGGGCATCCAAGTTGGTATCTGTAGCAATGGTTGGTCAAGCATGCCTTTTAATGCTATTTGAAAATCTTGGTTTTTGTAAATAACATTCTCTCTGCCTATGATAAAATAAAAGGACCCCCTCGGTATTTAAGGAAGATTTTGTCCAGTGGCTGATATTTTTCTAATAATATGCGATACTAATTTAATATTAACATAACAATTCACTTAAAGAGAGGCCTGTTTTGTGTTAACGTTTCTCTACATCCTCATTTTTGTCTCAGAGTTTCAGGTAGAATGGCTTAGGACATTGGTATGGTTTTTTACAAGACAACATATGACTTAAAATCACAAAAGATGTTTTACTAAAATATTTTATTAGTTGTAAAGAACTATGAGATATGTATTTTAGAGTTGTACATTTGATTATCATTATGGGTTTTGTTTTTTTTGTAATCCTCTCCCGAGGACATTTTTCTACTTTTTGTTCAGAGAGAGAGAGAGAGAGAGAGAGAGAGAGAGAGAGACAGACAGAGACATCGACGTGAAAGGGACACATCTAGTGGTTGCCACCCACACGACCCAACCAGGGCCGGGGACAAACTGCAACCGAGGTACATGCCCTTAGCGGGAACCAAACCCGGGTCTTTCTGGACCACAGGCCAATGCTCTACCGCTGAGCCAAACCGGCCAGGGTTATCATTATGTTTTAATAGGTTCAAATGGTGCTATGTATCGTTTGAGAGAAGTACTGGTTTAATTTGTCATTAGTGAAATGAAACTTTTTTTTGTCCCTTCTGCTAGGTTTCAGCATTAAAAACAATGGCCAGTCATGGAGGACCCAAGTACACTCTCTCACAGCAGCCGTGGGCACAACCAGGTATTCACATTTTACTATCTTGGATTTCTTTTTTTAGGATATTGATTAATTTCCATTTATATAGCCCTTGCTCTGATAGCTTAGAGTTGATTTTCTACTCTTTTTGTGGTTTGGGTTAATACAAGATGCAGTTTTGAGCTGACAGGTCTTTTTTATTGACCAACACTACTTGCATTTCAAGGAAGGAAGAATTAAAAAAATACGCCCCCCCCCCTCCACACACACACCAGTTAAAAATAAAATGTGGCTTAGATGGAGACACTGAGGCTGCTGGTTTCTGTACACCCACTTCTCATTGTTATACAGCTTTGATGAAAATGCTGTATACGATAGTATGAAATTATGCAGAGAATGTCACTGTTTTCAAGTATTATATGAAAAAATGTGGTACATTAGTTTGTTCCTCATTTTATGCAAGTTACACCCTTTGTTTTATGTTTTAGAGTACTGGGAAAAAATTATAAAAATTGTGGTATGAGTGGGGAGTGGGTAGGCGGTATCATTGTCTCTGGCAGATATGCTTGAGATGTTCCCAGTCTTACTCTTCCCTAAGTGTACATTTTTGTGTTTACAAGAAGATTTTTTATTTTTATTTTTGTCTTTAGTATTAGATGTTAGACATTTAAAATCATGAGTAACTTTGTGAGTTATTGTAGGTTCATTTTGTGACATTTTAAGTTGATATCAAACCAGAATAAATAATTTTGTTAGATTGGTATTTTTGCCCATCCCCTGCCCCGTACCGTGATGGTGATTCTTTGAAATTAAAAAGGGCAGCCCAGGCTGGTTTGGCTAAGCAGGTAGAGCATCGGCCCATGGACCAGAGAGTTGCTGATTCGATTCTGGCCAAGGGCATGTACCTAGGTTATGGTTTGATTTCTGGCCCTGGTTGGGTTGTGTGCGGGACAACCAATCAATGTCTGTCTGTCTGTCTGTGTGTGTGTGTCTCTCTCTCTCTCACTTATCCCCTCCTACTCTAATCTGAAAAATAAGTGGAAAAATATCCTCGGGTGAGGATTAAGACAAAAAGGGCATAATGGCAAAAGAAGCAGTGTTTTAATTTGGGGTAAGCTGTGTCCAAGTTGGTAGGGAAGCTTTTTACTCACAGTGAGGGAAATCCAAAAAATGATTCTGGCTTAGCATCCATAGAGAATTGGCTGTCAACAGCCATGTAATCTGGAATTAGGTTTTTAATATGAGTGGTTTTTCATATTAAAGAATGTTATGTCTTTTAGCTATTTCTTTGGGAAAAGGAATTGAGGCCATTCTAAAATTTTCAGTTATTATTTAAAGCCTCATGTTAATTTGAAGTTGAATTAGAACTAAGAAATTGAAAGAGAAGCTCTGTATCTCTTAGGAAGATTTGTAAATGTAGAGAATTATTAATTGTATTTGAAAGGAAGGCTGGATTTTATTTCAAAAATTTGTCATGTGATCTTTGTTGATGTCAATATAGGTTTGTATTGATTTGCTTTATTGCAAGTAAATTTTGTGATATGTTTTAGGCCTTCCATTGTGTGAGATTGAAATCTTTGTCACCTTACTGAAGGACAGAGAATGAATGTACTTGAAGCCGTAATACATTCTGTCAGAAGACAGAAAACTAGATTCTCTTACTGGCGAAACTGGAAATTTTAACCATAGTTGGCCTGCTGGTGACCACCTGTTTTGACTCCTCACAGTCAGGAGCAGACCTTTTGGTCCGTTATTCAGCATGGTTCGAGAAGAGGAAGCGGGGTGGAGGAGGCTGGAGAGATTTTACAAAGAGCTTATATTGCATATATGCATAACCAGTGGACACACAATAGTGCTGTGAAGTTGGGGGAGAGCAGGGAGGAGGGTGTCAATGTGAGAAAAAAGAGGGACAATAAAGAAAAAAAATTCTAATAATTTTGGATTAATTAGTCCTTGGTCTCAAGGTTTCAGTCACTTAACAGAGTTTATTTAGAAATAGGAGCTTATTTTATTTTGAACGTTTTTGTAAATGAAACTCTTGGGTGCAATCTTTCTTTAAATAGGTAGAAACCAACACATAGGCCGAGGCATATTTATGTTTAGGACAGCTCAGCCCAGGGACCTGCTGCATAGGACCCCTTTGGAAAGATCCTTTCACTCAGATTAGAGGCTGTCATTTCCTCAAGAGGAATCCTAATAGAACCCCCAGTGTTGGTGCACTGTGCTCTTAAGTATGACTAGAACTGTCATTAGTAAAGATGAAAGGGAGCTGACAGAAGGACGGATTGAAATAGGGCCTGCTGCTTTGTTATTTAACCCATTCTGTTTTTTTCTAAGTGAGAAGATATTGGTGAATAAATGATGGCACTTCAGTTTACCTACTTGTACCTCTGTGTAGCCGCGTGGGGCCGGCTGTTGAGTTGCTTTTTCTTGATCTATAATACAAGAAGCCCACACTTAAATGTCAAAGAGAGGTTTTGGGTTTTTTGAGATGGAAGCATCAGAAACAATTGAGGGGCTTGTCTTGGGCCTCTAGAAACCCAGTGTTACTGGTTTATGCAGATTTGATGATGCTCCTGGGGTCATTTCATGATAAACTCACAGGAGATCCAGTTATAAACCAGGATGCCATTTTGTTAATTTACTCTGGGAAATATGTCTTTTTAGGAATATGAGGATACAGCAGTCCTCTTTATCCACAGGGTGTACAGTCCAAGACCTCCCAGCGAATGCCTGAAACCAAGGATAGTACTGAACCCTGTAAATACTGTGCTTTTTCCTATACATACCTGTGCTTTATGGCTTCTTTTTGGCATATCCAAATTGCCATCATCACTGCAAGTAAAATAAGGGTTCCTTGAAACAAGCATTGCGATACTGCAACAGTCAGTCTAGTAACTGAGGTGACTATTAAGTGATTAACAAGCAAATACAGTGTGGATACAGTGGACAAAAGGATGCTTCATGTCCTGGCTGGGATGGCAAGAGTTCATCACACTACTCAAAATGGTGTGCAGTTTAAAACTTATGAATTATTTATTTCTGGAATTTTCCATTTAAGATTTTTGGACAGTGGTGGACTGAAGGTACTAAAACCATGGAAAAGGAAACCTTGGATAAGGGAGGATAATTGTACTTTATTTACTATGTTCCACACACACCTTTTGGTTATCAAGGGCTCTAAACTTAGTGATCATCTAATCAGAGCCTATGGAATTAATAGTCTTAAAGGACCTTTCATGTATTTTATGAAAAATAAGAAATTTCTGGATTCTTCTTGAAAGCATTGGCACTTTCTTACCCTGCTCTATCACAACCCTCCTCAATTAAAAAAGATAGTTTTTACTAACATGACATAAAATAAATTTGAACTATGAAAAAGTATAAAATAAAAAGTAATTCTATTCTCCACCTTTAAACTAGTCCTCTCAAAGGTAACCATTACTAATGGTTTTTCTTCCCAAATTATTTAGGTAAATACTAGCGTGTATGGACTTAAAACGTTGTACAAATAAGAATCTGTTTAATGGATGCATAAGAATATATCCCCATAGCACAATTTCTTTAATAATTTTATTAATGGTATTTAAATTATTTTTAGTGTTTTTGTTTTTCATACATTCTTTAATAAATGTCCTTGTACACATATATTTTGGTATTTTGTGAGTATATCCAAGGCGAATTTCTAGCAGTAGAAATGTTAAGTGAGAGAGTATGTGTCTTTTTGTTTGTTGGGAGTTTTTTTAATTATTGCTTCAATTTCATTAGTTGTTTTCAGCCTATTTAGATTTTCTGATTCTTTCTGATTGAGTTTTGGAAAATTGTATATTTCTAGGATTTTGCCCACTTTGCCCAGGTTGTCCACTTTGTTGGCGTATAGTTGTTCGTAGTATTTTCTTACAATTCTTTTTATTTCTGTAGTGTCAGTTGTTATATTGCCTCTTTCATTTATGATTTTATTTATTTGAGTTCTCTTTCTTCGTTTCTTGATGAGTCTGGCTAAAGGTTTATCAATCATGTTTATCTTTTCTTTTTTTAAAAAGATGTTTTTGTTGATTTTTTAGAGAGAGAGGAAGGGAGAGAGAAATAGAAACATCAATATGAGAGAGAAACATCAATTGGCCCCCTACTGGGGATCCAACCTGCAATCCAGGCATGTGCCCTGACCAGGAATTGAACAGGGATCTCTCAATCCATGGGACAATGCTCAACCCACTGAGCCACATCTGGCAGGGCATGTTTATTTTTCAAAGAACCAGCTCTTGGTTTCATTTTTTTTTTTTAGTGTCTATGTCATTTATTTCCATTGTGATCTTTATTATTTTCTTCCTTTGACTTCCTCTGGGTTTTTCTTGCTGTTTTAGTTGTAGTGTTAGATAGTTTATTAGAGCTTTTTCTTTTTTCTGGAGATAGGCCTGTAATGTTGTGCACTTTCATCCCAGGATTGTTTTTGCTGTGTCCCGTAGATTTTGGGTTGTGTGTTCATTTTCATTTGTTTCCAGGAAGTTTTAAAAAATATGTATCTTTATTGTTGAAAGTATTGCAGATGTTCCTTCTTTCCTCCGTTTGATACCTTCCTCCCCACCTGCCTCCACCACACTATTGTCTGTGTCTATTGGTTATGCATATATGCATATTCATTCTTTGGTTTATCTTTTCCAGTCCCACCCTTTCCCTCTGAGGTTCGTTAGCCTGCTCCCCTCCTCATGCCTTCCCCACACTATTGTATGTGTCTATGGTTATGCATATATGCATATAAGTTCTTTGGTTTCTCTCTTCCTGCCCCACCTTCCCCCTTCCCTTTGAAGATCTCAGTCTAACAACCAATTTGTACTTCTTAATCTCTTCATCTTTTCACCCATTTCCCCAACCTCCCTCCCATATAGCAACCACCAAAAAGTTCTCTGTATCTGAGTCTGTTCCTTTTCTGCTTGCTCATTTTGTTTGTAGATTCAATTGTTGATAGATATGTATTTATTGCCATTTTATTGTTCATATTTTTTAATATTCTTCAAGAAGACCCGTCAACATTTCATATTATGCTG